GCTGGCTGCCAACAGCTTTAGGTTTCCTGTAAAGAGAGATTGTGTTCCATGTTCAGCTTCAGATGGGCCAGTTTGATTTGGCCTCTTTATGTTGGTGCACTGCAAGGTGAGCCACGCTTGTATAGCAGGCTTGTTTTTTGAGTAAACCACGACTTCGATTTGGTTTGAGAGGGGCGCGGTCACAACTGGTAGTTGTATTTATCAATGGCCCCCTAAAGCCAAAAGACGACAGGGGTGCAGAAGGTCGCAACCGCCAAGTCGCGGGCCGCCGGGCCGCGCTTGCGGCCATGGCTTGAGGCGGGACGTTGGATCCCAAGCAGCCTGCTTAGCGGTATATTCGATTTCCCTCCTTGGTTTTAAAGGGAATCTACCACTACTGGAAATATGCTTTTCCAGGGGGACGAAAACGCAAATGGAGGTTGATGTTCATACCCAAATGCTCGGGAAGTTTCCGGTTGTTTAGACATCACTTTTTTGGGGCCGGTTTAGATTGACTTTGTTTTTTGGTGGGCCGATTGATGTTCGAAAATGACATGTAGGAAGCCTTTGGGAAAGGGTTCACTGTGGCACCGGGAGGGAAGCCCCTTACCCGGCGTGGAAGCCTGCCAAGGCGTTTTTTTCACGTGCGCGCCCGTGATCCAGGGGTTGTGAATTTTGGGATCCCACACCGCTTGCAGCTCAAGAGGCCTTCGCCTCGAGGAGGAGCATCCCTGGACGCTGGGTGGTGTTTTTTTTTGGGGGGGGGCATCCCTGGACTGGGTGGTGTGTTAGTTTTTGGAGTGTTTTCTTTTGAACAAACCGCAAGAAGGGGCTGATAGACGAAATCCGGTTGAGAATGGACTATGCCATTGTTTGCAGGGTTTCATTCCTGATTCGTTTTGATTGCTATTGGGCGGGATCTTCGGACAACTTTGGACTTCAACTTTTCGGGACGGCAAGTTGGTTTTCCATTGCACCCACAAACAATGATTCACTTTTTTTGCAGGTGGGTTTTCCATGTGCTCGAACGCCCTACGTTCGCTGCTGTTCGTCGCGGGCAGGCGATGGGATGGCGCGACAATGTGTCCCCGGTGGAGGAGGCCCGCCACATGTGTCCGGGGGGGGGGGTGGTAGGGTTGCTGAGCTCAAGGTTCCATGACTGCGTCTTCTTGGGGAGCCCCTCCTAAAAAATGAAAACCCAGATGGCTGTGTCTTGTTCTTTAGGGTAGGTTTCGCAGTAGGATTTGGAACAACAAATGGCTCAGACGGGTCTCCTGTTGGTTTCATGTGCTTTGTAAAACTGGTTGGTTCAACCCCCCATTAAAAGAACGGTTGAACCCAAATTGGATGATGAAAGTCACCTTCGGTAAATCATGATGGTTATATGAGCCCCCTTGGCTTGAATTTGTGGGTTTGAGCCCCAGGTGTGAGGTGACAAGGCCAGCTGTCGCCTCCAAAACGAAACACACCTCGGAGCCCCGAAGCCGGAAGTTGGGGACGTTTAACCCCCCCCCCATTAAAAGAACGGTTGCCCCCAAATTGGATGATGACAACCCCCTTAGGTAAAAATAATGATTATATACTAGGTCCCCCCAGTAGAGCCCTTTGACCCTGTTTTTGGGGGAGGGTTCCCAGACTAAAATAGACTACAAAAAGTTCGAGTACCAACCTATTCTAATCTCTTTCCTGGAGGAACTTCGAATTGGATAATGAAAACCTCCTTAACTAAAAAAAATGCTTACATGATGCACCAGCTTTAAAAATATCATGATGGTGATATGACCCCCCCCCGGCTTGGATGATGAACCCCTTAGGTGAGAATAATATAACCAATGAGCCCCCTTGGATCGAATGGTCGACCGAAGAGACTCAGCACACACGAGGGATAAGAGGGCAAGCTTCAAACACGAATTCCCGAATTCCAGGCGCTTGCCACATGTCCACAGCCCCATCTTACCTCTTAAAAACACAGCTTTTCAACTTTTTGGGTAACATGGGCTATATGTCTGCAAAAGATTAACTTCCCCAGGGCTTGGAGCTTTAAGGGGTAAGCCATGTTCCCGCAAGACGCGAAAAAGAAGACCAATGCTTTGCATCCCAGTCCGGTGAAAAGGGCGGCTGCCTGAGGCCTCCAGGCCCAAGAGCCGCAGCAGCTTGACGCTGCTGCGGCAGTCGGCCGGGCGCCCTAAACTGGGAGGCAACCGGAGCGGCTGGGCCCTGCGCTCTGGTCAGGTTCTGGGGGTGGAAAAAGGTCCCCCCCCCTTGGAAAAAAGAGGAAAAACGACAAGTAGGCAAGAACCAACAAAGATCGGTAGATAGTCAATCACAGGTTGGGTTGGGAACAATGGTCCCCCCAATCGGCCCCAATCCCTCCAAAAAGGGGCATGAAGAAATAAAGAGATCAAATGGAGACCCACCTGGTCTGTTAGAACTCTTGGAGCTCATGTCCACATCTCTTTTTTATCCCTGTATCATTTGTAAACGCTTCGCGTTGCCCGCCTCGGCCAGTCCGCTTTTGGCTGGCTCTGAGGTATACACCGTGCTTTAGTTTGCTTTGAAGTCTGGTGTTTGCGTGAGCTGGTTTCCAAAGTAGAGGGTGGCTTCAAGGGCCAGAACGAGAGCTGCAGAGAGTACGGGGGGGGGGGGAATTTGATGGCTCCTGGAGGGATTTGACAATTCTATGGCTTTCTAGGACCGGAGTTGGACAGGCTTTGAGAGGAGGAATTTGACGGTTCCTGGGCTTCCAGGCGTGAGGCAGCTGAGCACGGGTTGGGGATGGTGTTTGGAGGATCCCGCAGAGGGGTTTAATGGATTTCTTTTTTCCTTGGTGTTTTCATGAGAGTTCTTACGTTGGATCTCATTTTCAGTTCTAAGTTGCAATGATAGGATGTAAAGGAAATGAACGATAGAATCCTGATATTGATCGTATCATTTTCATTCATATCCTCTCCCTGTCAAAGGCCCAGAAGTGCCCACAGTCCAGCCCCACTGTCGCGACCCCCTCGCTCCGTGGCGTGACCATTTTTCGGTGCCAAGGTGACCGGCTTCATGGGCGGCTCCAAGGCGGCTTCCAGCTTCGGGTCGTCGGGCGGTGTTCGACAAAAAGCGTGCCAGTGCAAGAGGATTGCGAGACAGAGACACCCCGGGGTTCAGTTGCCACCATTAAAACCATGGGGGATAATATGACCACCACTATTTACCTAGGGATTGCCATCGCCCGGGTTGGGCCAACCTGTTCTTTAATGCATTTTGCATTTTTGCTGATTGTGGTTATTTCTTTTCGCATGGAAGAGAGGTGGAAGAATCACTGCCCTGCCAGGACAGCAGCTCGCCCACCAAGAGGAGCCGCGCAAGACATGATGACATTGGGGGAAGGGGGGGAGGGAAGGAAGCCGGGCGAAGCCAATGAATATGGAAAGCAAGGCTTTCACCAGCTAGGTCCCTCAGTAGTGCCCTTTCTCAGAGGGTTCCCCTAGTAAACTAGACTACAGCAAAAAGTTGGTACCAACTTTTTTCTAGCCTCTCTACTGGAGGACCTAGCCAGTTTTGTGCTGGTGCGTCCCATGAGCTGCCAGTCCTTTTGGCTTTGCCCCGATGAATGCAACGCTTTTGGTCAAGGCTCGTTGGCGCGCGGATGGCCGGGAGGCAGCCATGGAGCAGTCCCCATGATGCCCCCAAACCCATGAAATATGTGGGTGTGTCATTTTTTGGTACTCTTGCCGGGCGTGTTTTCATTTTAAGGGAGAAAGAGAAAATACCGTGTTGTTGTTGGTTTTCATTGGAGGCTTTGCACAAACGAATCCGAAGCACATGGTAAACCATGCCTGACATTTGCAGACGGCTCAAGGGCCCGAGGAATCAAGGTGGTGCGTGATATCATGCACATACATATCTAGAAGCAAATGTTATATGACACACTTATATATATATACATATATCCAGTAGACATGCCTTCCTGGTTTCAGGTCTTCTTGCACTTTTGTTGCACTTTACTGATTCTACGTCACGGAAACCCCTGTTTCAGTTTCCTGGGCGAGGGGGTCTATATATATTTATCTAGATGTATTGATATTTATGTGCATATGCATATGTGCAAGGGTCAAAACACGTTATGTAGAGGTCTTCATTGCGGCCGCCGTGACATAACTGTTTTTTGAAAAACATGTGTGTAGCGACAGGGGGCCTTGAGTAGCGACACCCCTGTTTAGGGCTTGCATGTATGTAAGTCCCCATGGAACATGTTTGTAAGTACCTTTTTACTTGCATGGGAACGGAAGTACGTGCTGAACACATCGTGGAAGTCTAAGTCCCGGCTGCGACGCAAGACAGGTTTGAAGGATCTCGTCTTGGCAGTTTGAGCGTTCCAGTTTAAGAGGTGCTCCGTCGCCTTGGCGGGGACAGGCGACGATGCAAGCAAAAAAGAGGCACTGTGCTTTTGAAGTAGGGTTCCGGCAGCCCCTGGGAAAAAATCCGGCACCCGTAGCGACACCCAAAGCGACACCTTTCAGATTATGGAGCGACACCCAAAATCCCTTCAGATAGGCAGTTGCCCCTTCGCGTACTACACTTGTACTACAAAGTTGCGATTTTCAAACTGGGGCTGCAGACGTGTACTTCGCGTGCTACACTTGTACTACAAAGCTGCGATTTTCAAGCTGGGGCTGCGGACGTGTACTTCGAGTGCTACACTTGTACTACAAAGCTAGGAGCGTGTCCTTGACGTAGAGGAGCCGGCGGGAAGTGACCGTCCCGTGTGTCGAGCAAGCACTACCATCTCTTCCGCAGTAGCCCATGGGGAAAAGGCATGAAAGGAAGGAGGTTGAGGCAAGCCTCATGTACTACTTTGGTGCTGAAAAGCTGAGACCTTCCAGCCGAGATGCGAGAAATGAGCTGGCACTGTGTGTAGCGACAGGGGGCCTTGAAGAGCGACACCCCAGCCAGCCATGACAGCCAACCACAACACATGTTTTGACCGCCGCACATATGGCCGTGCATATGAATGTTTGGCTGTTTTCGGGGTGATGGCTGTGATCATGGCGGTGGGCGGAGATGAGGTAATGACCTCGGAGCAATTTGCTGCATGGTTCGAAGGCCAAGCGCCGAGCCGGGAAACCGGCGCTCGCTTCGTGGATGAGTTGAGACGGGAGGTTGGGGTTCAGCAAAACGTGGGGGGAGGGTGGGGGGGGGGGGGGGTTGGGGTTTAAGCCAACGGCATCACTTGAAACCGTGGATTAAACCACCAAAACGGTTGAGACAACCTCCTTGCGGCTTGCCTTGAAAGACAAGATCTTCCCGGGCGCCAGGGTCTGCCTGTTAAAACAAATAAAAACATTCAAACACCCATTGGCCGCCAAATGCCAGACTGTATCAACAACACCGTATATTGAATTCCCTTTTCAGCGGGGCCTGGTTGTTGGAAAACAATTGGCCAACTGAAGTATTCAAACAACCTCCCGACCTCCCCCAATCAACACCCCAACCCCAACCCTCCTTTTTTGCACAGCCTGGTGGCTTCAGCCTGAGTCAATTCTCCCCTTTTTCATTGCAGTTTGGTGGCTTAAGCCGTGAATACAACTCTTTTTTTGGTAAAGACTAGTGGCTTAAACATGGGTTCTGGCTTAAACCATGAATCAACCTCTCTTCTTGTACAGCCTGGTGGCTTGACATGAATCCACTCCCCTTTTTTATTATTACAATTTGGTGGCTTAAATCCGTGAAATATATCGAAGCCGCGCTCGTATCCACGGCCCCAGCCAGGTTGCCAGGCGAAGACGCTGCGCGAATTTCCGGCAGCTCCAGGTGCTCTGTGGGAGTGCGGTGCTGGATCCTGGGAGCCCCTGGGATACCACGGGGCCCTGGGCGGTTCTGGTGCGCCCCTTTGTGGAGGTGGGCGAGCACCACGGAACAAACAAAGGGCAGAAAACGCCCCTTCCCCCCCCCAAAAAAAACAAGAAAGACACACACACAAAAAGACAAGACACAGAATACACAACCCCCCCCCCCAAAGAAAAAGAACAGAACAAAATAAGCTCACAACACCGGGATTTTCAAAGCAGGGTTGAAACGAACTAGGAGTGCCAATGGTTTAGATGCGTTGGAAGCAATGACCAAAGCAGAAGGGTGCCTGCAAGTGCATCATGGGGTGAGCCACCATCCTAAAACGGGTCCAACAGTTGTGGCCACTTTCAGGCGGAGGGGAAGCCGAAGCTCACGAGGGTGGCTCAGAGTGGCGACCTGGAGCAGCTGATAAAGTTGTTGGAGCAGCCGGTTGATCCAGCTCCTGCAGACAAGCAGCAGAAGACCGCTCTGTACTTGGCCGCTTTGTTCGGTCACGAGGCGCTGGTGCGCTGCTTGCTGGAAGTGGGCGTTGCCACGGATGCGCCCGACCTGAACGGGTGCAGGCCGTTGCATATGGCCGCCTATGCGGGCCATCTGGGAATCGTGCGGTGCTTGCTGGAAGCCGGGGCCGACAAGGACCAGGCATGCGCTGGGCGATCCACGCCGTTGCGTGTCGCTGCCGCAAAGGGCCGAAAGGAAGTGGTGGTGTTCTTGCTGGAAGCTGGCGCCGACAAGGAGAAGGCGGACAGCCAAGGGTTTACGCCTTTGCATGTGGCTGCAGAACATGGCCAGTTGGAGGTCGCACGCTCCTTGCTGGTGGCTGCTTCCCCAGAATTGGCTCCTTTTTTTGGCTTTTTTGGGGTCTGGTTTGTTTTCCACTCACCAGGCAAAAAAGACATTTTTTAATGTTGTTTGCTGGGGCCTAGGCTGGTGCTGAAATGGACAAGGCCAACCACTTTGGGTGCACACCTTTGTACTTGGCAGCTCAGCATGGCCATGAGGAGCTAGCCTGCTGCTTACAAGAAGCTGGGGCTAGGGCATGAGGATCGATTGGGCATGGCCATTCAGCTTGCCACGGCGAGGACCCAGAAAAAGAAGGGGACAGAGCGCGAGAGAGAGAGAGAGAGAAACCCCCCCTCCAATATCCCAAGGGGTCCCCGATTGCAACTCATACCCAGTTACTCGTACATGTGTGCCTTTTCGGATTTCGGTGCTGTTCGAGCGGAAGTAGTGATCTTGTTGTCGTCATTTGCCGACGCTTGTTTTGGATGGAAAAAGGCTACGGCACGTGCTGCGCTCTTTGATGAGAGTGCACCACTTGCATTGAAAGTGGTGGCGCGGCTGAAAGGCTCACTTCAGCCATCTGTGCTGATGGGGGGAGGGCAAACGACACGATCAGGTCTTGCTCAGGGCCTCTTGCTCATGTCTCCACCCCAGCAAAGGGCCCAATGCCAGGGAGCGGCTTTCTATACATGTTTCGTGGGATGTATCCGTCTATCTATCTATTTGTTTGTCTATTTGTCTATCTATCTATCTATCTATCTATCTATCTGCCTACCTACCTACCTACCTACCTATCTATCTATCTATCTATCTATCTATCTATCTATCTATCTATCTATCTATCTATCTATCTATCTATCTATCTATCTATCTATCTATCTATCTATCTATCTCACTATCTCACTATCTCACTATCTCTGTATGTATCTATCTATCTAACTAACTATCTATCTATTTCAACACCAAACAACTCGAGAATCGCAAACAACAACCGACAAGATGGGTTCAAAAGCCCAAGGCTCATAGCATCCCCTTATGATATCTTTTTGTGTTATTTTGCGGGGGGCAAAAGAACACCACTGTGTTTTGCTTTTTCATATTTTTCCCCCGGTGGTTTGTCAGTTTTTGTGGCTCATGGCTTCCAGGAGCTCCTGGTTCTCGCTCTCCAAGCCAAGCAGCCCGGCACAGACAGGCGCCGGCCGAGCGGCCGAGCCGCGCTGGGTTGATTCTGGTGAAAGACTTCGTTGCCCAGTGGGTTCCGCGCGGAAGGGGACTGCAGGAAACCAGCTGAGCGGCGTCCAAAACCTCCGCGTATATGTTTAGTAAGAGTCATGTCATATCGACCAGCGCGTAAGGAAGAACTCCACGCGCGTAAGGTGGCGGAAGCTGGTGGCGTAAGCAAAACCTCCAAATGTGTCGCGTAAGCAAAAACTCCACACGCGTAAGGTTGCGAAAGCTGGTGGCGTAAGCATAATGATACGACATAGCAAGTCATGACACGTTTAGGACATGGCTCAGCTGTTGGATTATTTACAGGGGTCCCAGTTGCCCAGTGGGTTCCGCCCCTTAAACGACTTGTTTTGGGGAAGGGTTCCCTTTTAACCTCGACCAGCCAAAGAAAGGATGCCCTTTTCCATGGCCAGTGGGCATCTGAGAAGACACACACTCTGGGGTTTAAACCAGTTTCGTGGATCTTCGACATTGTTTACATGGCCCTGGGGTTTATATGTCACCATGATTTGCCGTTCAGGAGTTGCATCCAAATTGGGTTTTTGCAATTTTGTCGATGAAGGTTGAACCCTAGGGTCAATTATTTGCTGGCGCGAAAGGGCATGACCGAGTCCGGGTGGGAGTGAACCGTTTGGGGATTCCCGAATACAGGAGACCACCAGTTGGGTTAGGGGTTTTTTCCTTCATGTCTTGCTGAGAACCAACAAGGTCGTGCGTCCCCCTTTTTGTTTGATGGTGTGTTGTTTGTTTGTTCCTTCTTATTTTCACGCTAGCCTTGGCTATGGAGGTCTCAATCTTAGCTCATGTTTTGTGTCGGTTTCTTTGTCGGCCCTGTTTGCTTTGCCGAGTTTGAACCGTTGCAATGGCTGAAGCTGCCCACCTTCCTTGGAACCTCACAGAGAGGTGTGCCTCGTCCCTCTTGCATGCCTTGTGGTCGAGGTGGGACACGGCTCCCGGAGAAAATGTTCATCACACACCAATACCCTCAAGACAAGAAGGTGCTCATCGGCAATGAATACCTCTGAGGAGATGTTACGAATCGCAAAAGCAGCAACGGTGCAATCCGTGAACACGCAGCCCGTTGCAAACCAGGCTTCTCTTGAAATATGCCCTCCGGAATGGCAACGGCTTCCTTTAAGGGTTTCCCTTGAATCCAACTACCCACAAAACAGGAACTCACCCATCATTTTGTGCAATCCAGTTTCATGGGTAGTTTGAGGGTCCAGCCCAACAAGTCTTAGACATACTGTGGATGGACGAAATCCTGCACCGCCTAAGAAACCCTGGACTGATGATTTCCCTGTAAATGCCAATGAACAATGGTTTCCAATGGTCTCAAAGTGGTGCAGGATTTCATCCATCCACAGAGGATTTCATCCATCCACAGTAGCTCGTCCTTTGAGACTAGGCGGTGATCATGCACATGGATTTTGGCCCGGATATTACCCCAAATGGCAACGGTTTCCTTTGGGTTTGGGTTCCCTCCGGAAAGGCGACGCCCAAATTTCTTCTGCTGGTGCCCAGTAGGGGATGACAGTTGAGGGGTGTTGAGAATGGCTCGGAAGGGAAGCCCCTCACTGGAAATCGCCGCTTGGATAGTTTATGGGGTTGGTTCCAACTCACCCTTTTTGGGGGGAGGGTTGCCCTACGATGGTAGACTACACAAAAAGTTGGTACCCTTATTCTAACCTCTCTGCTGGAGACCTGGAGCAAGATAGCCTCCGACTTCGCCTGTTCTCGACGCCAGGGAGGCAAGACCCCGCACAACGGCCCACTTCGCCCGCGCCACCCGCTGGCGGAACCGCCGAGGAGAGAGTCGCGAGGTTTGAGCCATGGTGTGAGCATTTTCTGCTTGGCGCTCCCCCGATTTTTGTTTGGGGGGGAGGGGTTTAGTCTCCTTCATGGTTGTTGTTAAGAAGCGTTTTACATTTTTGCTTCTTGTGGTTTTGTGGGAAGTCCAACCACTTAACTGCTAAAATTTAGATTTCTGCTCCCCTTCCCCCCGATTTTTGTTTTGAGGGGAAGAGGGGTTTAGGGGAAACCTGAGGGAAAACCGGTCCCCGGTGCCACAGACAGTTGACAGTTCATTTTGCAGCCAAGAACCCTGGAAGCGAAAGTGTCCACTATGCCGGGGGGGGGGGGTAAAGGGAAATATCAAGGAAAACCTTGGTTCTTGTAGAGGGTATCAAACCGCCCCTGGGCCGCGAGGATTGTGGGATAAACCCATGTTCCGTACAAAGAGGGATGTGACTGCATGGCTGTTTGTCACCCTTGGGATGCAAGGCCATGCCATGGGGTTGAACATCCAAGCGGCGACCCGGGCGCCAGTATGCTTGCTGTCCCCTGAGCTTTTTAGACTTTTAGGGTTTAGTGGAGGTGTCCATTTAACCCGCTAAAAGTTAAACTTTTAGCAGGGGATCTGAGGACAGCCCAGAAAAGAGAAGCTCTTATATTTTTTGGGAATGAACCGTTTGGGATCTTGGGGGAAGTCACCAGTTGAGGATTTGATCTCCTTACATCGCCAATCCTGAGAGCCACCAAGTAGGGCGCGGTCGAAACAAGGTATGCTTCAGACACAGGTACTTCCATTTGCTTGAGAATATGTTTTATTGTCCCCTGTTGGGTTTTTAAGGGAATCTATCACTACTGGCAATATGTTTTTCCAGCGGGCTTAAGCAAATGGAAGGTTTCGGTCAGAGAAGCTTCCCACTTGGTAGTGGCGGCTGCTTGTGGCTGTTTTTGCCTTCGATTGTGGCATGTTTGCGGCGCGTTTGCCATGCTTTACACCGTTGTTTTGCAAGCAAACGCACGCATGCGTTCACGTGCGTGCATACAGACGTATAAATGTGTTATTTGTACGGTACGGCGCGTTTGTTTCAAGGGCTATTCTCAGAAACCAGTGCGCCAAATATACACAACACACCGGTATGTATACACAACACATTCACATCTGCACATATACACTTAAGCAAGTACTATGCACCTAGGCATGCAGGTATGCACACGCACACAAAGACGTAAAATACGCACATAGACACACATGCTCGCGCGCGCCACTTCAGGAATTCGCCGTGGCCAGCCAGCTGCTAGAAGGCTGGGTCTGCAGTGCCTGGTCCACGATTCGTTGGGGACTGCCATGCCCTGGGTCAAGAGAAAGGCTTCCGGAATCCTCGTTGCTGTTGCTTGTCTCCCAAAGTTCCTGGGCATCCGCCCTCGGGGGTTGAGGAGGTCCCAGGAGTCCCACGAGGTTTTCCTGGGAAGGATTACGCAGAAGGAATGAGGGAATGAACCCAGGGATCCCTTTAAGGGAAACCACCAGTTGGATGGTTAATAGGGGTCATTCCCTCATTCCCTGCCTATCGCACCAGCAAGGAACTCTCCTTTCATTGCCATCTCGGAGGAATTTCCTCTAGACGGTCGCAGTAGCTGCTCGAACAAAGCCCAGTTCAGATGCCATTGCGGCCTTGGGGAAAACAGAAACTCATGGTTTGTTGTTTGGAAACATTCTACATGTTTGTTTATTGTGGTTTAGTGGTTGAAATCCAACCACTTAACTTCTAAAAAAATAATGTTTTTTGATCCCCTTCCAACGTCAACCAAGAACTGCGCGACAGGGGTCTATGGAAGACGCCTTGATGCCAGTCAGGCGCGGCTGGGGTACGCTTCGCGTCTTGGGAACCTGACCCTTTCAACAGGAAAAGGATCTCCAAGCAGCCCCCTGTCAGGTTCCATGTTAATTGGTGGGAGGACAAATGAGACATCAATTTTTACAAGGAGGCCTGACTCCCAATGTGGCTGATGGTCGGACAGCTTCTTACCAAGGCCTTACTAAATCTTGGGAGGACATCTCTAGGTTTGTTGGGGGAAGGACCTCCTGCCCTTAAAGCGCAACCCATGAAAGTGGTGTCCCTACTTGGATGTCAACCTGCTTAAGCAGGTCACACCCATGGTTCTGACCGGAGTAGCTGGGCTTAGCTCCCTCGCAGCCATGGTTTTAACTTAAGCTGAGCCGTTCAAAGGTCAGCCTTAA